AACTAGAACACTGGTTTAGAGAAATTACTCAGTAAATAACAAATATTGTTTTGATTGTTGCAATTAATGGCAGATTACTTACAGCAGTCTTTTGAGCAGTGGGGGTTTGTTTATTCTATAATTTATTAAGGAGGTTTCTTTTTATTGCTTTGGCTTGAAGACCTAGAATTTTTGCACAATGAGTGTAATTTGTCTTGATTTTTACCTAAAAACTATACAATTCCACATGGAAAGTCTGTAATTACTTTCCGCAATACAGTTAGTCTCCCATCGGCCTGTTGTTTACTTTCATTCTGCCACAGCAGGGACTGCGTGAAGTGAAGTCACACCACTGCAGCCCAAAGAATTATGACCCCAGGTAGGCAGCTCTAGCTATCCCATTTACAGCAAAGTCTGAACAATTTAATAAGAGCAGCGGAAAGATCCGGGAAAGAGCCCACTGTTGTTTTCTTCTATCCTCAGTCTGATTGTTTAGTCAGTTGCTTTAACTGAACATAAGAGAGATGTAACAGGGACAAAAACATTAAAGAGAAGTAATTATAATCTTGCTCAGTCTCATCGTCCCCACCTACTCAGGGAGACCTATCTTTGCCAATTTAGGTCAGAGAGTTATTTGCAGAAAAAAAAAAAGAAAAAGAAAAAAGCAAGATTATGAGAAAAAGGAGAAAAAAATAGCCTGTGTATGCTATGTTGGTGGTAAAGATTTGGGGAGTAGAAGAGAGATTTGAGGAGACACTGGCAACTGTGGAGGATGTTGAGAGACAGGGAGAGAGAGAGAGAGCAAGAGTGAGAGACACAGAGAGAAATGAGAATATTAGGTCAGATGCTGAATTGTTTTGGTTCCAGAAAACAACGTTGGTTGGTTGTAATATAACATGTCATCTCTCTCTAGAATTTCTCTTAACAGATTGTATTTTTCAATTATTGTCTATTAGACTGTGGACTTGGCTGGGAGTGCTTTAAACTAGTAGGTCATAAGGGAACTTGGCTTTATATGGTTTATATCAACCCAAAATCTAGCTTGTGTTGTAGTTGTTTCACAAAACTCTTAATTTTAAAAGTGGGTGATGACTCAAACAAATCACCTATTAAGAAAGCATTTATAAGACAATTGAAGAATGATACAATTTTGACTGGATATGTGATGATCTGGAGTATTGTTAAGTTGTAAAGATAAGAAACTGGTATTGTGGTTATGACAAACAAAAATCCTTAAGTTTTAGAGACACATATTGAAATATTTAAGGATGAAATGATACGGTGATTGGGTCTTGCTTTAAAACAACCTAGGGGTGCAAGGAAGGTAGGAAAGAGAGTAGATAAAATAAGGTTAGTGGTGCCTTAATACTTGTTTAAGCTGGGTGACAGTACATGGGGATTAATTATACTATTCTTTCTACTTCAGTGTCAATTTTTAAATTTCCATAAAAGTGAAGAGAAAAAGTGAGCAAGTCAGTATCTATTGTTCTTTGTCTGTAAAAAATATAAATGAAGTTACTTTTGATTGTCATGGGGCAAAAAAAATTTGCTTTTTTTTTTATTTTTTTTTTTTATGAGGGTTACTGGCTCTTGACAGAAAAAACAATCTCTACTCTTGATTATGAAAACATAGACTAGGTGTTTGCTGATATTGAATACTAGTGGGATCTATTTAACTCAATCCAGTATTCAAAAGTCTTAATTTAATTAGAATCTAATTGCAAGATAATTCTTCAGTGACAAAGGCATTTCCCTGGTGCATTTTAAAAAAAGATTTAATGAATAAGATACTTGATTTCCACATTACATTCGGGAACTACATCTACTGTAGACATTGAGGTTCAGCACTTGCCTTCTGTACACGTTTGTAGCTTGGTACGTGTTTCCATTTCACTGCCTTTACTTTTTCAAAGAAGGCAGCAGGCTAGCGTGGCCTGACACTGAGTCCTGCAGTTTTCATGCTTCAATTTTTCCCCAGAGAATGCAGAAGACGTTGCGGAGCACATTTTAAATTTGATAAAAGAATCCCCACCTCTGGATGAAAAAGAAACAAAGATAATTATTTC